GTACTCACACCCACACCCTCCTGCGGGAGATGCCGCATCTCGCGCGAGAGATGCTAGTGTGGGTGTGGAGGATGCGCCTCTATACAGGAGATCTTACATCTCCGGTGGTGAATGACCGCATCTCCCGAGTGTGGGTGCCGCGTCTCCCGCTGAAGATGCGGCATCTCCCGCGAGAGATGCGGTGGCATCTCCAAAATCTTGGATATGTGACACCACTCCAGAAGTCTCTACGTCAGTTTTTATTATTTTTTTCTTTCGATGTTTTTACTTTCGACATTTTTCGACTTTCGATATTTTTACTTTCGATATTTTTACTTTCGACATTTTTCGATTTTATACTTTCGACGTTTTTACTTTCGACATTTTTACTTTCGACCAAAGTTCAGATAACCGTCCATATATATTCAACAATGAATTTCTATTTTTATGAAAATACGAAATTTATGTTTCGATTTGCTAGTTAAACAAATCACGGTCATATTCGTATGAACATTTCTAGAATATATCTGTTATCACTTTTTATCTTTACAATAAATTGTTCTTTCACCTCTATACTGATTTTATTTATAGCCTTGACTCTACGTATAGATCAAAAGTGTATATACAATTAAGAAAAGACTAAGCATCCCTCACGATATCATCCATGTCACCTCTTTTTAAGCAACCACGACGTAGTTACGCCGTAACTGCAATCACACAATGACGTGTAATTGCGAAAAATTGCGACACAGTTACATGTAGTTAAAAAAAAAATCGTAGCTACGCGGCGTTGTGCAAAAAAAATCGTAGTTACGGGCAACTACGCGTAACTGTGTTGTAGTCTTTCACAGTTACGATTGAAATACGACGCAGTTACGGCGCAACTAAGACACATTTCAATCGTAGCCGCAGGTCTCTATTGTGTCTCTATCGAAAGTTATTCAAAACACAGTAACTCGTCTTTTATTTTGAATCGGACAATAGTAAGATATAAACAAAATGATCTAGAACTTACAAAAATATATTGCTTCCATAATTTGTTATAATTTTTTTGAATTGTTCAGAAACGTACGATCTAACTACTTCGAAAAAACGGTAAAATAGTATTTATTGAGATAATTTTAATTATCGAAAACGTTCAAGATTTAGCAGTCAACATTAAAATCATTATGTGAGAACTGTTCTTTTATTGCAGAGCTGGGCAAGTACGGACTTTTTCGAGTACGAGTACGAATACCTGCACGAATACCGACCTTCGAGTACAAGTACGAGTACTTCGAAGATTTTGCCCAGCTCTGTTGTATTGAAATAATTCAGATGACTTCTCAGTTTTTACGAAAAAAATAATTGCACATCGTCTATATTCCTTAGATACGTTGCATCATATTCAAATTTTCAAAACAAATACTTTGAAAAAAATTCATTTTCACATGTATGAAAATTTTTTTTTTTAAACTTGTTGTAAAACAACACTGTTTTATATACAATGCATTATTATTTATTGGAAGAATTTCCAGCCGTAACAATGTCATCATCATCATTGTGATCCGTGTCTTGTTTTTCATGTCTACAATAATTATTATTATTATCAATATCTTTCACATTAGGACGTGCAGTGCTTTTGTCCCGACCGAACACCACTGTAATTTGATTTGGTGGTGTGTTTTGTATAAGTGATGATGATGATGATAGTCTGTTGTAATTTATTCCAAGATAATGTTCTATTCCAGGAAATTCTTCATGTGGTTTTGAACAACCGCAAGAACGGTTTGTGAATATTGTGTCAGATTGTTGGTTGTGTTTCGTCTGAGGCTGTTGTGGCATACAAGGTTTTGGCTGTTTGTCTTTAGATTGATTAGCCACTTTTGGTGATGATGTTTCTTCATCTTCTTTCTGTTCTGTTGTTTCATCAAAAAAAACATTAAAGAATAAGTTGAATAAATGAATAGTAAAAGAAAAAAAAATTTAACAAGATAAAAATAAACCTTCTAATTCAGAAATGGTTATAACTTGAATATTCTCGCTCTTTACATTGGGCACAATAACTTCAATAAGATCTGATAGATATGGTTCTTTTCCATCTTTAAAAAAATATAAAAATAGCAAAAATACTATCATAATAGTAAGAAAAAACTAATAACTTACGATTAAGTTTTGCTATGATTTGAATAGTATGCTTAGTAGGCTCTCTACCAGGTTCCAAATTATTAATACAAACTTTATATACATCAGCTATTGAAGGATCACGTATCTACATAATATATTAATAGAAAAATGTTTCTTTTTATTCAATCACTAAACGTACATAACGAACTTCTTTCTCATCTAAAACGAGAACATATTGTTTAACTACGGGATCACCAAGATGATACCATTGAATAATAAGATTAGGTTTTGAACCTAAATCTGGCCATTCAATGTTTACAGTTGGCGTGAAAGAAAAAATTTGACGCATAATCGAAAAACACTAGTAATTATACATAAATAAATAAAAATTTTTTTTCAATGAGAAATAGTGCATACTTCAGTATTAGATCGTTTACGCGTTAAATCTGGACTTCGGGGTATAGCATCAATATGTATCGATATATTGTTTTTTGTTGGATCAAAACCAGATGCCGATATATATCGAAATTTACTATTAAATACAGTTCGATTCGAGTTATCAACGGCTAGCTGTCAAGAAAAAAAAATTCAAATAAAACATGTCATTTTCATTGATTGAAAACAATATTTTTTATTTCAACGATTACTTTTATGTTTCATAAATTTTTCACAATATCTATTCTTTGTTTGTTAAAAGATAAAAGACATACTTACTACAAATTCTTTAATAAGATCCCTAGCTTCCTTAGGTGTAACGTTGATGGTACCATAAATTTTATTATCTGGAAATACTGTTTTATTATCTGGAAATACTGAATTGTCAAGTCTAAAATCAATGTTTAACTTTTGCCATAAATCTTTTTTTTCCTAAAAATAAAATAAAACAAAACTTATTATTAATAATAATTGTTATAAAAATTTATAACTTTTGCCTTTTGTTGATTGTCTGACCTAAAAATCAAACAACATAAAGAAATAATTTAGAATTTAAATAAAAACAAAACAAATAAATCATACATAAATTCATTTTCGTTATTTTTATCGGACATATTTTGTTAGTTATATTCAAAATCAACTACAAATTGAAAAATAAACCAAAAGCTTTTTGTAGATCAATATAGTATCAATATTTTTAGTAGTATTTTTCTTTCTTCTGAAAATAAGTTTTTTTTTCTATTGAGTAAATTCTCATATGAGAAATCTTTCAACGAACAAAAAAAAAATGTTTATATAAAAGAACGCAAAGACAAGAGTAAACATTTTTTTTCTACTGTTAAGTTACTCGGTTAGATTTTGATTTCTTCTTTCCTTCTTTTCGTTTCCACAATAATAAAGTATCACTATGTAGATGGTTGCTATATAACTCTCAAACATAAAACTAAAAAAGAAAAAGTGAAAGAAATAGAATATTTTATTGTTTCGATTATAATTGAAAACATAACGATTTATTCATAAGACTTAAAGAAAATGACATCGTCAACTCATTCTGCTCAACGTAAAGTACAGGTAGATCATTATTTAATAAATCTGATTCGATTCTATTGTTTTCTTTTTTTAGACTGAACAGGAATCTTTGGAAAATTTTAAGAAGCTAGATATTGGTTATCGATTTTGTTGGAAATTTTGTCCGAAATTGTTTGTTTTGTTGTTTTAAATTTTTATTATATTGAATATCTATTTATTTTGTTCTTATTAGTGATGATGAAGAAACTTGTGTATGTAACCAAAATAAAGATATTCATAAAGATCAAACAGGCAAAAAAGGAGATAAATGGAAGATGTCGAAAAATACTAAGGAACAATTTAACAATGAATACTTTGGTACACTCTTCAAGAATGCTTCAGTATGAAAAAATTAATAAGATTCTTTTGTTTATTAATTTTTATATATACATTTAGTATGTTCGTCTTGATATAGATACAAAATTAACTAAAGTTGAAAAACTTCTTTTAGAGTTTTGGGATATTCCAAAACCTAATTTGATTATGTCAATTATTGGTGGCGCAAAATATTTTACATTAAAAGATGAACTTGAATCAATTTTTATTAATGGTGTTATGGATGTTGCTGTTAAGTCAAGTATATATATATATACATATATAGTAAATGAAATAAAATACTAGAATTTATTTATTTAATAGACGTATGGATGATTACAACTGGATATAATGTTGGTATTGTTCAACTTCTTGGACAAGCAATTAGTAAAGTCAAATTAAAAGATCCAAATCAACAATTGATTGTTATAGGTATTTGTAAATGGGGAAGTATTAAAAATGTTAAAACATTAACAGGCATAGACGAAGAAAAATATCAGGTTAAATAGATTTTTTTATTAAAAATATTTGCATCTATATGTACTTTTTTTTTCCAGAAAAATAAACGTAGATTTAAAGAATCAGATGATGAAGAAGCAGCTGATAAACTGAAAAGTGGTGAATGTAATCTTGAAAAAAATCATAGTCATTATCTGATGGTAGATGATGGAAGATATCGATATTTTAATACAGAAAATTTTCGGACACGACTATGCCAACACATGGTAAATGTAGACACGAAGAATGATGTTCACAGTATGTACATATTTAATCTAAATCATTTTAAAGGAATAGTATGATGTAGACTGAAAAGTTTAGATCTTTTTTCCTTGTAATCCTTTCCAACAGATCGTGCTTAATATTAAAGACTTGCAGAGTAAACTTTTTTCGTATCCTGTACCCTGGCTAAGAAAAACTTTCTCACGCTCACTCTAACCGACACTATAAAGAAAAGTGTAGAATAATAAACCTTTACTATCCATTTATTATCATTACATAAACTCTTTCTGTTCATTAATCTTGGCAAATGTTTGTAATTAGTTATAAATTCATATACTCTTGTACTGTTTTCTGTGTTCATAAACTTTTTTGAGCAATGAAACAGAATAAATCCTTAAATGAAGAATTTATTATTGCACGTTTTAAACACAACCGTAGAATAATAAACACTTTCTTTGATTGTTTATTTTCTTTGTATACCCAAAAAAAGGCTTCATTAACACAGAAAACAGTATAAGACTATACGAATTTGAAACAGGTTACAAACCTTTACCATAATTTATGAACAGAAAGGGTAGATTACGCTCATACACCTAAAAAGGATTTATATAATGGTAATAAATAGATAGTGAGGATTTATTATTCTATATATTTTTTTACAGTATGCCCTGCATATTACTAGCTAATACAATGGTGCTTTTATAATTTCGTCACAAATCTTGACTTACTGGACCATGAGCATATTAGACTAATATTCTTATTTGTAAAGCAACGCTCATGTTTGTCTATTACTTTCTATACCGTTTTTGTTATGTCTCAGATTTTCAAAAACGTTTATTTACAAACAGACGATATTTGAAATAAGAAATTACTCGATTTGCAGTCTATTAACTGACTCAGACTACAACGATGATCTTGCTTTTTTTCTCTATCATTGTATATATAACTCATTCTTTATTTTATCTATATTTAGCTCCTGTTGTCACTATCGTAGTTGAGGGTGGTCTTGATACTATAGCAAATATATATAATGATTTAAAAAACGATATTCCTATTGTTATTATTAAAGTAAGATAAAAAAAGAAATGAATTATGAATGTTTTGTCTTTCATTGTACATAAATTTTTGACATATAGGGTAGTGGTCGTGTTGCTGATTTTTTTGGTCGTTGGTTATTGGATGCAAAAATCGTCGAAAATGATTCTGAACAAGGTAAAATAGCATATGAAATCGATGAATTAAATAGAACAAAAACTGAAACAAAACCAGTTTCAAAAAATGAAATAAGACCAAAATCGAAAAAAAGGTAGAAATAATTTTAAAATTATTTGTTTTAATTATTTAATCTATACAGAATTGATATACATGCTGAACTTCATCTTGATTCATCTATAAAACAGTAAAAATGTATTAATCATTTATATTTCAATTTTTTTTAAATTGGTTTCTTGTTTCTTTTCTTAGACTTCGTACACTATTTAGCAAATATGAGAAAGACCTTAAAGAAGATTTAAAAAATATTTTATCTCGTGAAGATGATTCAAAGAAAAATCGTACAAATTCAAGTACTGGAAACAATGATTCTGATGAAAAACTAGAACTTGCACTGGATCAAGTTATGTATTGTCTACAGCCAGCTGTTCGTTCTCAAATAACTGTATTTAACATAAATTCAGAAACTGATTTATCAGAAAAAATTTTTGAAAGTATTTGTAAATGTAAGTTAATTATTTTCATATATTTTGATTTGTTTCTAACATTTTATCTTTTTCATATTTTTTTAGCATTTCAAAGATCATCAAAAGACAGTGATGAAGAACGAATTAGTAAGTCAAATAATAATCAATTTGATTCTAATAAAAAAGAAAAAAAACGCTTAATATTGTAGAACGAACACCATTTCTTAAATTAGCAATGGATTGGGGTTGTATACATGTTGCAAAAGAATTTATTTTTCAAAATTCATTAGATTATATTACGGTATCCATATTTATTTTATTTTTATATTTATATATTGTTGGTGTTTTTTTTAGGATCCAGACGAAGCTTTTCTAACTGCTTTAAAAAAAAATTTACCGGCATTTGTCTGTGAATTTCTCAAAATAGGAATTGAGCCAGCTGATATATTCTTTCCAACAAAACAATTTACTGAAGGAGACAATCGATATGCTAAATTTATCGAAGAGCTTTATGATGATGTTTTAAAGGTATGAGATTTATTTAGAAAAAGTGATTCGCTTTTTTTTTTTAACAGATAATATTTATGATTTGTTTTTCTAGACGAGTATCGATGAAACTCATTTAAAATATTTTATCGAAGATAGTGTTAATAACTCTGACAAAAAAATTGGTTCTGTTGTATCACTTAATGCAGTTCTCGAGGAGCTTATTGGTGATTATATGCATAAACTTTATTTTGAAAGCGAAGAGGATGAAGAAAAAGATCGAATAAAATGGGGATTAATGCAAAGTTCTGTAAAATCAAAAACAGATACAAATAAAGATATTGAAAATAATAAATCTTCATCAAATGAACAAAAAAAACAAAAAGCAAAAAAATATATAATGCGTGATTTATTTTTATGGGCTATACTAATGAATCGTATTGATATGGCGAAAGTCTTTTTATCTCATTTGAAATATCGAATATGTCCAGCATTGATTGCAACAAAAATTTTAAAACAATATCATTCAAAAGCACATTATGGTGATTTAAAAAAAGGCTATGAAAAAGATGCAACATATTTTGAACAATATGCAATTGATTGTCTCGATAAATGTGATGATAATAATGCCGATCGAGCTTGTGTACTTGTTATACAACAAAATGAACTTTATGGATATGTTACTTGTCTTCAAGTATGTTTGATAATTTCTTTTAACTTGTAAAAACAAAACCAGAATTTCATATCTATTTAAAGGTTGCTTCTGATGCGCAAGATATATTATTTATTTCAGAACCAGCTTGTGTACAAGCTATGAAGAATATTTGGTTTGACAAACTTCATCCAGAACAAACAAGTAAAACGAACCAATCAGCTGTGTTTTGTAGTTTTATTTCACTTGGTCTTTTGGCTCCTGTTGTTGTTGAATATCGAGAAAAAGAACAGGTTAGAAGAAAATGTTTTTTCTTGTCATGAATGATAGATATTATTGACTCTGATTTAAACAGTCAGTAAAATAGATGAAATAGTCAGTAAAAACAATATAAAAACGATCAATATAAAGATTTGAATGGTTAGTACTTGAATTATCAATATATTAATTACAAAATAATCACTTTATTATACAGTACGTGGCAATTCATTTTCCCATCCCCTCCCACCTTCGGTTTTTTTTGCATAAAGATATTGCAGTTCTATTTATTTTCTATTAACACTACATAATGAGAAAGGACAGACTTCGTACCATTGTATGATATATAAATCATAAATAGTAAATAAAGTTCAGAGAACGAAAACCTCATCAGAAGAAGAAGATGACAGATATTTTTACTATCATTTACTTTTCATTAGCATTGGTGTTCCAAATGGGTCACAACCGATCGCATATATGAGTCTAAAATCTACTGAGCGCAAAAGTATTGATATCGACGATGGCGTCAGAAAAGACGTGATCAATGAATAGATTGTCAATACATTGGCATCAACAATTAATCGATTGTACATTAATAACATGTAGCTGGTATGTGATAAGAGTCGAGCTCATAATAAGCCGAATATGATGCGAGTATTAAAGGCTAGCAAAAGTAAATCAGTCGTAGATATTCTTTATATGCCAACAGAATTAGCAAAATACGTACCACCATTGGACAATCCATTTTAGCATTCATTTAATAAAGTTGTTCGAAGTCAACATCCACTCATAATGAAAGATCTTCTGTTATTATTTCATAAACGTTTTTTTTTCGTTATCGAAACAACAAATCAACAATACATATCACAAATGTGCTATCTCGTGTGAAACTAATGTATATTACGATCAATCTTCTATATGAATAAGTATGTTTGTTTTCATTACAATCCAGATGAAAAGTACACTATAGTAAAAAAATCGGTCATATTTTTCTTTTGAGAAGGTTTGTGTTCTCTGAACTCTATTCGTTATTTATGCTTTATATATCATGCAATGCAGCAAAGTCTGTACTTTCTTGTTATATAGTGATAATCAAAAACAAATAAAACTGCAATACTTTTATGCAAGAAAAACTAAGGGAGAGAGGAGGAAGAATGAATTGATGCGCACTGTATATAATTAGCAGGGTGTGGGTGTGGATTCGAATGGATTTTTCATTTCATTCATATTCTGACGATCATCGTGCTCAGGTTCAGTTGTATAAACAGTTACTTTTTTTTACTGTTTGTACAATATAGCAGATAAATATTTGTTGTACAACGTTAAGGTCCACGACGTTTGACTTTGTTGCATTTGTAATAAACTGTTCTTTCATTCATTTCTAATTGATGCTTTTGTTTTATTAACATTATCAAATGTAGATCTTGTCAATCTAATATTTTGATTTCTTTTTTTGTTTTGTATTTGTTTCATCATTTTCTTTCATAACCTCTTCAATTAATACATCAATCTCATATTGAGCAACTTGTACTACGTTCATTATTTTCTGTTACTCGTAGACTCTAAGCTGAAGTCGGAAGAAAGGATAGAAGCAAAGAATACCTACATCTATGTCATACATTGTATCTGTACTACATGGTCTAAGGAAACCAAGAAAAAAGAAAGTGAATCACACTATAACGTGTTTCAATTTTTATATTTACTCTTTGATTTATTTGACTGTTAGTAAATTTAATTTATTGATATTGAAATTCATTAACAAATCTGATTCATTACTAACGGACTATTTAAGTAGCTTAATTACTAAAAGTTTTATTCTCGATATTATTGGACATTTAATCTATAAGAACATATTTCGATTACTATTATTATAAATCATCTAAGAGAAAAGAAATAGATCATTTGTATAGACTTCTGAAAGAAAAAAACGAAGTGATTCAGAAGCTTATTGATTCTTAGATTTCTTATTGGCACTAAAAATTAAAACAATAAAGAAAAAGTATATTTTTGATAAAAATAGTTTAGATTTTAAAGTTGATATTATTGCCTAATTAGTGTTTGCTTGAATTCTAAAGATTTTAATTAATCGATATTAATCATGCAATGTTTATCACGATATAATAAAGACCTAAAATAGACACTAGTTTTTTAATTTTAAATAAAAATCTTATGATTATCTTTTGTTATCCCAGATGATAAAAGCTCATGAATCGCCTAAATCGACGTATGTATATGAGATATAAAAATGCTTAGTTATAAATTATTTCTATGCTTTTTCTTTCAGTTTGGAATCATATGGCGTAAATTATTGTGATCCATATCCACTTGAATATCCTCGTTATTTTAAATCAAATCTTACATTAAATGAATATATACATCGATTGAAACATTTCCATTTGTCGTTATTGGTAAAATTTTGTTATCATGTGGTATGTACACATATGTAATGATAAAATATATATTGAAGAATAATAATCAATTCATTTTAGATAACATATATTTTTTTTCTTTTACTCTTCTCGTATGTTCTTTTGTTCAATTTCTCACCACCAAAACCTCAAAGTCCATCGATACATTGGACTGAAATATTAACAATTATTCTTGTTTCATGTATGTTAATACAAGAATTTCATTATGTATGTATTTTCTATTAAAATATAATAATTTTCTATAAATTTTTTTGTTACTTTCTCATTTCAGTTTTTTACTCAAGATAATTTAACGTTTTCTGGAAAATTTAAAAATTCTTTTCGCGATTTTTTTAAACCAATGACTACACTCGCATTTATTCTTTTCTATATTGGATTAATTCTACGATTTGCGTATGCAGATTCCGAAGAAAAATTTATTGCTGCTAGGTTTGTTTATTCAATTATTAAATATGATGTAAAATATTATTATCTATTGTCTAACTTTAGTTTTAAAAATTAAAGTAAATGAAATAAAAAAAATTATTAGAATTAAATCCTTGGTTCTCCCTCCCCCCGCCCTTCATCATATCTAAAATAATTCTTTAATACTCTCTTTGTTCTTATCTATATAGCCGATGATCAGCACTTGTTTGGGTCATCTGTCTTGAATTATGTTCTGATTTGCATGAATTATAAGATAATTTACTTAAAACCATAGAATATTTTCCTATAAACTTAAGTTTCGTTCTCGCCAAATTTATTTCACATGGTTTCGGTCTTGCACATCTCTAGTCAGGATACAGAGCATGACAGACCTATGTTTTTAAATTCTTACTTTTTGAAGGTAGAAAAAAGATGAAACGTTCAATGTCTCGAAAAACTTTCAAGAACTAGTGCTCTAATTATATAAAAGTATTCTTTTGTGTAATAGTAACAAAACTTCATTCAAAAGAAAAGGAACTCTGTCATACTATGCTCGTTCAAACAAAAAGAAATGAAGTGTATAGAATGGATACCTATGGAGAATTCTGGATTATGCGATCAAAAACATATAAACAGAGAAAAAGCGAAAAAGATTTTCTGCTTTTCTGAACAAAAAGCTATTTTACAAGCAGAAAATGATGGATTTCAATGAAAATTTTTGAAATAAAATGAGATGCCAAATAAAAACATCAGGGCGTTTATGAAAGATCAAACCTCGAGCTATCTTCCATTTTGATTTTTTTCATGAAAGATATTAAACTCAATTGATTTTAGTTGTATTTTTTCTTTGCATAAATGATTTCTAATTTTTATGAAATTCTATTATTACTTAGAGTAATTATGGCTTACGATATAGAACTATGGTGGCTTCGTTCTTTATCATTTATTATCGTTATACCATTTCTTGGACCACATCTTGTAGCTATTGGACAAATGGTATTAAATAAATATTTGCATATCATTTTGTTTTATTTAAATTTATTTTGTTTTTATAGGTTAAAGATCTTTTATTTTTCATGTGTATCATTGCAATTGTTATGATTAGCTATGGTGTTGCATCTCGTTCAATGGTTTATTATCCAATAGTGAACAATTTTACAACGGAAACAGGTGGTCCTATAGATACTAGTTTTGATGGTAGAAATGTTTTTCGTCAAATTATATATCCTGTTTATTATTTATTACATGGAGAATTTGGTAACGAACGATTAAGTCTTGAGAGTATGTATATTTAAGATGATTATTATATTTTATAGATTGTTTTTCACTATTGCAAAGGTAATCCTAATGCTGGATGGTCAATTACAACTCAAATATTGCTTGCTATTCATATGTTATTTGTTAATATTTTACTTATTAATCTGCTTATTGCAATGTTTAGGTAAAGTAATCGATTTTTGTTAATTTTATTTTTGAAATCATATTTTAATTTTGTCTTTTATTTTTTTCTAAAAGTAAACGATTTGATAAAGTTTATGAAGATACAAAACATATTTGGCATTCACAACAATATTTATTTACACGTGAATATTTCACACGTTCACCATTTTTACCACCAATAAGTCTTATTTATGATATTTATTATTTATTTCGTATGTTTGTCTTTTTTATAAGACAAAACGTTTTTGACCTACCAACAGATCGTCAGGCTACAGTATTTAGTAAGAATGATACAATATTTATATGTTTTACGATGTTTGAATTATTTTTGTTAATAATTTTTTCTTTTTTGTAGAAATGATTGCGAAAAATAAATCTCTTCTAGAAGAATGGCGCGAATTTGAAGGTGCATCAACATATGAATACGCTCATGCTCAACTAAAAGTACCAAAAGATATATCAACGAAGTAAATTTGAAAATAAAATAAAGTGTTTTATTTGAAACATTCTTTTTTGTTTCTAGATCATCAAATGGATCAGACTCATCGAGTAAAGAAAAAAAAGAAGATGTGACGGATAATCGTAATGATTTAAATGATACTATGGATAATTTGAAAGAAGTACAAGAGAAGATGTCGGAATTACGTTCATCAATTAATGGAATGAAACGAAGATTTACAAATTATTTTACGTAAAAAAATTTTATTGTTTAGTCTTCAATCGAATATATAATGTATATTTCTTTTCACAGAGAATCCGATAATGATAACACTTAAATGAATGCTAGTTGAAGAATACAATGAACAAAAGTTAATCTTGAATGTTTTAATAATTGCGTGTTTTTTTTTCGTGATGTTTGATTAAAATTTTTACTATTGATCAAGTATTGTGATATCTATTTTAATATTGTTGTTCTTCGTTTGCTGGCTGTGTAGTTATACTTTTTTCTTTTATATTAAAAATCTGGAGTGTATAATTTTTTCTTTTTGAAACTTAATCTCGATACCGGTTCCATGTGTCTAATGATTCTTGTCGCGAGCTAATATATTTTGATATTTAAAATAAAAATAAATGAATATATTCAATCAAATATTAATCCAGCATACACCAATTTTATTGAATGCCATTCATAGTGAGAAAACTCTCGTAAATAATTTTGTAGAATAATAGAACAGATTGGTTTTGATTAATTTTATTATGTACATAGTCAAGCAAACTTCAGCATTCAAATCATATCAGAAATTATGATAAAATGTATTAGTTTTTTACTTTTGTAAATCATTATAATTCGTAATGATTATATATTTATTTATTACTTCTAAAAACCAGACTTTTTTTTGTATCATAAACATTCATTACAGGAGATCTTTGCCCTAAAAATCTAATTTTGACGTAGTGCATGAAACTTTGATGGTTCAGAATGTACTTTCTACCCATAGAAAATCATTTTCACTATACTTCAAGATACTTTGTTTAATTTTAGGTTGTGTCAAAACCTCTAGAATCCTGAAATACCACAACAAAACAGTTTTCTACAGAACTAGAGCCTAATTAAAAAGTTCATTTGGCTCATCCAAACAAGTATGACGTGCCCATTGCATAGAAGAAATAGGAGTTCACTAGAACAGAGCACATTGAAAAAGAATTCGTAGGAAAATTAATTGTTGACAAAAAACCATTTTTGAGAAAATTACAAAAACTTTTTTCTGCATCTTATCTACTGATCGTTCTGGGTACAAACTGAGAAGTCCCTAAAGATCAGACTAAAAGCTTACTTTTTAGTTTAGTACTAATCAGGAACTATATTCTACCAGATAGATTCCGAACACGACTGACTTTGGATCCAAAAATTTTCCATCCGATGTTCTTCTACCTATGGAATTGACAAATCAGACTATGTTAAATAAATAGTTTGTTAGCATTCCTACCGGTTAACAACTCTGAATAATATATTAAAAACCTTGTGCTATTGAATTAATTGATCTTATTAAACATAATATTTTAAATTTAAAATATGCTAATAGGTAGCTTGCGTACGTGTGTTATCGTTGTTTTTTCATCAGCAAAAGAAGCTATATGAAGCTGATTCTGTCATTGAATAATCCATAGAAAGTTAGTTGAAGTTCGTAAGTAGCGACTAAAATGCTTATGCAGTTTCTGGAGTAAACTATACTATAAGCTCCTTTTGATAACGTACTTATTTCAAATTTAATAAAGTTTTCAAATGCTCTCGGTTTTAACCTAACAGTCAAGAAGTAGATAAAAATTATATCAGAATAAAGCCACAACTTTGCAGATTCAGATTACATATAGCACTTCAATATTTAGTTTCGATTCTATGTTTTTAAAACATTTCATTTCATGGCACAAAAACGACGATAAATTCCAAGATATGCATTCATCTTGTTTCTCATGTGACTTTTTTCTTCATCATGGAAATAAAACCAAATAAATACTCTTTAGCAATAGAGCAAAATGTGATTTACAACATGACATAATTACCTGTCAAAAGTATTGAAATCCTATTTTAATCACTCTGATTCATTGTTAGCCGGACAAGATGTTGACACCCTTAAGTCACATGTCTGTATGTTTATTTCAAAAGTTACACTTTTTTGACGGAAACAAACTTTTTGGAAATGACTTGGTTCCTAAATCTGAAACATTTCATGATAAATCCGATTTTACTTTTAAGAAAATATTCAAGTCTAAAATCCATATTTTATGTTATTTAAATAATCATTTGTACTTATACTTTGGTAAATGCCAGTTTCCTAGTATGAAATTTTAATACCTATGTATTGAATGCTAAATAACGGATATTCTATCTGTTTCAATGGAATGACGTCATCAAAAATTTTTCTAGTATCTGACATCGTATAGGAAAGAAAAATGTGTAAATGAAAGTGATGATATCATAAGTGATTACTTCACAAGAAAAATTAAATTTAGGCAGAATTAGTTTTTAATTAGGCGCAAAACTATGAAATAATTTTCTTTTATTTAAACATAAACTGTAATTTTCATTTGCCTTAACAAAACACAGCAGATACCTGCTTTTTTTTACTAGACAGAGTATTCATTTTCACTGATTCATACTGTAGTGTTTGCATCAATAACTTCTTCTCCGTCAACATTGAAAAATGATTTTTTTAAAAATATCTTTATGAACAAGTGAAATAAGATTTCAAATTTTTGGAGTGTTACATTCCAAGAAAAGGCTGATATTATTTCACTACAGTGCACATATTAACTAAAACATCATTCAATTTTTTTGAAGTGGAAAATAACTCAATACAACTTAACAGCATCATATATTTATATATTTACATATAGTCTATAAGCCATGGAAAATTCGAAGACAAATAAACATTGATAAAAATCACGGATCAAAAACCATAAGCTGAAAGAGCCTTTCTTTTTTTTAATGTTTTGATCAAATTTTGCTAAGACAAACTAAATTTCAATATATAAAACTTTCTGAGAATATTTATCTTAAGATATTTTTAACATCGACAATTGTTCTTGCGAAATTACAGTGTCAATGTTGTTTCACAATTTTTGCGTACATAAGATCATTCCTCTTTCGCAATTACATACAACGAGTATATTTAGTATAAAAGGTAATTCATACTCCATGAAGTCTCTATTCATTCACATTCTATGCTAATAAGAAGGTAGTATTTCATTCTACTTATCTATCTATTTCTTTGACCGTATATCAAATATTACAATATAACCGTCGATTATGTCGAGACAACGAATTGAAGCCGTGGCTGAAACAATGTCAAAGTCACACAATATTCGTAATATGTGTGTCATTGCACATGTTGATCATGGTAAATCAACATTAAGCGATGCATTAGTTTGTAAAGCTGGTGAACGCCGATTTACTGATGCATTAGAAGCCGAAAAAGAAAAAGGCATTACAATAAAATCATCAGCTGTTAGTATGTTTTACGAATTGGATGATCAAATTCTCGGTTCGTATATATTCAACAAGAATTAAATTAATATGAAAAAAATAAATAAATATTTGATTTTTTTTTAATAGGTGATCTCAAACGGGACGGTAATGGTTTTCTAGTCAATCTTATTGATTCTCCAGGTCATGTTGATTTTTCATCGGAAGTTACTGTTGCATTACGTGTTACTGATGGTGCATTACTTGTAGTTGATGCTGTTTCAGGTGTATCTGTACAAACTGAAACTGTTCTTCGACAAGCTCTTTCTGAACGTGTACAATTAGCATTAGTTATAAATAAAGTTGATCGATGTATATTAGAACAAAAATTAGAACCTGAAGAACTTTATCAAAAATTATCAGGTATTGTTGCACGATGTAATGCTTTAATAGCAATGTATCGAAGTACTGATGATATGATTTATTCGGATGAACATTTTAATCCAAAATCAGGTAATGTTGCATTTGCATCTGGTAAACAAGGTTGGGCATTTACAATACATCAATTTGCAATAATTTTTGCTGAAAAAGCAAAAACATCGAAAGATAAATATATAGATCGTTTATGGGGTGAATCATTTTATTCATCAACGAATAAAAAATGGATTTCATATGAACAATCAAGATCAATCGATGATGCTAAACGTGGTTTTAATCAATTTATTCTTCAACCACTTTATCAAATTCTTAATGCATGTCTTGAATTAAATATAGATGAAGTTCAAACATTATTATCAAAAATTGATATTAAATTACCAGCAGCTAAACTTGATGCTACTCTACTTGATGGTAAAACAATTACATCAAATGTAATGAAACGTTGGTTACCAGCTGGTGAAGCTATGTTACATTTAATTGTTCTTCATCTTCCATCACCTGTACAAGCACAAATCTATCGTATTCAACATTTATATGAAGGACCTCAAGATGATCAAGTAGCATGTTCAATGAAAGCTTGTGATCCAAATGGTGAAGTTATGATTTATATTAGTAAGAAAATACCTGTTCAAGATGGATCACGTTTTCTTTGTTTTGGTCGTATTTTTTCTGGTACAATTGTATCTGGAACAAATGTACGTATTCTTGGTCCTGATTATCGACCAGGTTCAACAAGTGATTTACAAATAAAAAATGTAACAAGTGTTGGAGTTATGATTGGTGATCGTTGTATACCAACACATCATGTACCAGCTGGTAATGTTGTTGCATTAACAGGTATTGATAAATGTTTATTAAAAACAGCAACAATAACAACAAGTTCTGATGCACATAATTTTCGTGTTATGAAATTTTCTGTTAGTCCTGTTGTACGTGTTGCTGTAGATGTAAAAGATCCAGTTGATCATACTAAACTTGTTGATGGTCTTAAAAAATTAGTTCAAGGTGATTCACTTGTACAAGTATTAAATGAAAATGGACAACATGTTATTGCTGCTGCTGGTGAATTACATTTAGAAATATGTTTGGCTGATTTAGAAAAAACACATGCACGTTGTCCACTTAAAGTAGCAACACCAATTGTAACATATCGTGAAACAATTACTGCTGAATCACGTCGAATAGCTTTTACAAAAACAACAAATAAACATAATAAATTTTTTATGCGTGCATCACCATTAGAACCAGGTTTAGCTGAAGCTATTGAATCAGGTCGTATAACATCTAAACAAGATCCTAGAGAAAGATCAAGAATATTAGTTGAAGAATTCGGTTGGGATTTAGCTGCAACAAAAAAAATTTGGGCATTTGGTCCATATGAAAATGGACCGAATATACTTGTTGATTCAACAAGAGGTGTTGATGGTTTAGGAAATATTCAAGATGCAGTTGGTGCTGCTTTTCAATGGACAACGCAAGAAGGTGTTGTTGCATCAGAAAATCTTCATGGTGTTCGAATTGAATTACTTGATGCTGAAATTCATCGAGATGCAGGTATGATGAATTTACTGGTCTTTTTTTTTTTTTGGAATACTAATTTTATTTTTCTTCTATAGCTCATCGTCGACCTGATCAAATTATTCCAGCTATTCGTCGATGTCTTTTAGCAAGTTTACATATGGCTGAACCACGTCTACTTGAACCAATATTTATTGTTGATATTGAATGTCCAAGAAGTATGATTGGTAGAGTTTATGCAACATTAAATAAACGTCGTGGTCAAATAAATGAAGAAGTCGAATTAAGTGGTACAACATTATCTCGTATAAAAGCCTTTTTACCTGTTAATGAATCATTTGGTTTTACAGCTGAATTACGTCAAGTAACAAGTGGTACAGCATTTCCTCAATGTCAATTTGATCATTGGTCATTATTACCTGGTGAACCATTTGAAATAGATTCGAAATGTGGATTAATTATTAATGATATACGTCAACGTAAATCTTTACCACAACAAATTCCAACATTGGAATCTCTTATCGATCGACAATAAACTTTTATCTTTATTTTTTTTCCAATGCAATAATTGCCTTTTTTTCTTTCTTTCTTTTTAATATTTTCCAATAAAACGCAAAAACAAACAAGCAAATCAATAAAATTTACACATCAGTACCTAATTCTTGTTCATGTGTATGAAAATGTGTTAAAAGTATCACTTTAGTTGTTAAATCAGGTGCATGAAATTTTTCTACTATTGATAATGATGAACCTTGTTGTTTACAAGTATTCTTATAAATATTTTTTTCAATTGTTTTTTGTTTTCGTCGATAACATAAGAAAATAATAATTAAAATTAATATTAAACAAACCAATGAAAGTATTATAATAAGAATTATTAAAATAATTTGATCAGTATTTTTATCATCTTCAATTATTGTTATTGATGATTTTATAGTCCGTTGAGTAGAAACTGCTGATGGCATCCAAAGGCGTAATTCATCTGAAAGACTATAATTAATTCTTGTATTATTAATAGTTGAATCAAAATCAATAATAATAAGTCGATAAGATATTTGACCAGTTGAATTATGTATAATACCTAATAGAACAGCAGCATTTGATTTCGTTATTATAGATGAAGAAAATTGAAATAATAGAGAACGAGTTTGTGATGAAGGTATAATTGTTCCAGATTTTGAATCTAAAATTATTTAAAAAAAACAAAGAAATTAAATACAAAATAAACACTGTGATTAATGAATATACAAGCTATAATTGTAGCTAAACTATCAGTAACAGTAATTGTATGATTACGATGTAGACTTGATGTTTGTAATTCAATAACTGAATAACCATTTTGTTTACAATTCGAATAACATTTAGGTTGACTTTCTGGTGTACATGTACATAATGTACAATTATCAATTTGACGATAAGATCCTTCCTAAAAAGCAAAAAACGAATAATTCAAGTTTATTATCATATATATTTTATTTTACTTTAAGTATATAACCATTCAAATCACATTGTTTAGGTTGTCGGCATGATACACAACAACTATCTGATCGTGATTCTTGGATTTCATGTTCAAGACAAAATTGATGTTCACATTGAATACTTTTACATACAACACGATTATGTCGTCGACATGTACAATATTGACATGCTGATGTATACCAAAGATCATGTTCATAATGGATCTGATAACCATTATTACCATAAAATCTACACATATGTCGATTGCTACATATTGCACAACAACTATTTGGTAAACGAATAACTTTTTCATTCTAGATAAATTAAAAAAAAATAATTCAATTAAAAGCCAAAAAATATAAATTTCTTTACATACAGATTTACATTGTAAAATTGGACAAGTTTCTTTTGAACATATAACTGATCCATTTCTACATGTACAATGTGTACAAACATTATCTTTCGTCCAAACATCACCATTCTTAATAACAAAACAAAAAAAAGAATTTATAAAATTCTTTCTTTCTTTTTTTTTTTCAATAAATCAATTGATTTTACTTGATAAATAAGACCATTATTATCACGACAAATACTTGTTTGACATACTGGACAACATTGACCAGGTATGAATTCAAGAGTCTAAATAGAAGTAATTAATAGGAAATATAATTAAATTATTCATACTCCAAGACAACTTGTTATTGAAGGACATTGTTTAATATAACAAACAGAAGATACATTTTGATTTAGTGATATCGCCATACATTGACATATGGTACATGGTAATGGAGACCAAATTGTATTTATTTGATATAATTCATTATCAAATGAACATTTGTCTAATGAAATTACCAAGAAAAAAACAACATTTTATAGATAAATGTTATTATGAAATAAAAAAATCAAACAATTTTGAAATTTTGCAATGTTGTTTCATTCAATATACACTTATTCAAAAATAATCAATTATACACTGTTCAATATGTATAATATACTTTTTGCAACATAAACACTCTAATTTCATGAATAGGATACTTATCTATATAATTGTGCATTAATATCTAGTGAAGTAGTTCGACACTGTGCTAATAGCTGTCAATATTTTTCTGTTTTTTTCAAAGTAAATAGTTTTTAAAGGAATCTTATACTAATAAGTATATAAGAGTAATGCTGTTAGTGAAGTATATATATATATATTTCTTAAACAATATATACAACTAAGATCTTGTCGACTGTATTTCTTAACATTCAAAGATTCATCGAACGAAATAGAAATTTAAATTCTTTTCTAAACAAAAGAGAAAAAAACCAATCTCAATCCGATGAGTAAATACTTTGTAAGATTGATTGATGACAAATATCATCACAAAACAGTTGACCATCTCGACAACGACATTGAAGACATGATTTAGGATAGAATATAGTATTGTGCTATATAGACAAAAGGTTAAAAAGTCATTTCTTTAATAAGATAAATAATTGATAACATACAAGTATTGCAGTACCATCATAAAGACAAGAACGTCGAATAGTTGAACATGTTGGACAACAACTACCTGCTTTTAATGTTAATTGTTCACCCTAGGAAAAAACAAATTTTTGTTTTGAAATCTATTTGTTTAATTTCTATTTAATTTTACCATTTGACAATCTTTTGGCATTTGACATGTTCGATTTCGACAAATAATAATTTTATTTGATAAACATTTACATGTTTGACAAGATTCAGATAATGTCCATTCAGTGTCAATCTTAAATAAATAAAAACAAAACAAAAAATTATCTATTTATTTATTAATATTTATGTCTACTGTATAAGTCGTTGAATTGTATTCACATCCAAATTCAATTGTCTGAATAATATTAAAAGAAGTAAAAACTAATATAAATCCAATAAGAAATTGTGATAACATGGTCGATTATTCCACATGATTCAATCAATGTAGACGATTAACTATCATCTAAAAGTAAAAGTCACCATCATCGTCCTCATTTCGTGACTGGTTTAATCTACAAACAACCTTTTCATATTGATTTGTTCTTTTGTATTTTTAAATGTCGTGGATGATCTCTAAAATAAAATAAAGAAACGATCAAGATATATTCTATGTTCATTTATCTTTCTCATCGTTCATTGTGTCAATCATTCTGCTTTATGTTCAATAATTGATTTTTTTTTTCTTATTTTTTTTTCTCGTTCTCTCTCTAATGACGATGCGAAGAGTACAATAAATAAAAAAGGTTTCCTTTCCATTCCTTCTTCTTTCAATGCATATACTTGATGGACAAGTAACTGATTGACATAGACATACATATACATGTATATATGCACTATATGCACATTTACATCATTTTTCAAGTTTCAATCATGAAGGACTCTTTACTTTCATCCATCGAAGAAGTCCAAATGGAAGTATTGATTTTTTTTCACCTTTTCTTTTTCATTAGTGTTGTCAACAGCTGTCACCATTATAACAATGATTTTTTTATATAAATGTACAATACAGTTACAAAATTTATTTGTCATGAAAATAATGAAAAGAACAGACGAAGACTGATGACAATACTTTGATTTACCTGACTTTGTGAACATGTATACAAATGAATAAGATTGGTATCATTGTGAACATATGTTTTTTTTGATCTAACGAATGAATAATGTGGTTACATTTCTTCGTTCTTTTTTCTTTTTTCTTTTTTTATTTCTTCTTCTCTTTCTTTTAATGGATTTAACAAAATGACACATTATGCATAAGTTTTAATTGCTTTAAATGAGGTCATCTACCTTATAGGCACTAGGTGAATGTATCAGAATTACTTAAGAGTAATGAGACGTATGACAAGTTCTAGATGTGAAATATTTTATTTCTCAACAGACGATAGGAACAGTCACATTGAGGTGAAAAAAATGCACTAAAGTCTGTCACGTTATATTATCTCTCACGAGATCTCACTTGATCATCTTTGTGTATGTTCTTATGTATATATTTAGAAACAGAATAAATCATCTATGTATGTATAATTCAGTCGACGAGACATACAATTGGTAATATAAGAATAGCAAAGATTTATTATTGATGAACAACAGAGATGACATGCTCAGTATAAATGATTCCCGAATGTGATTGATACTGCCTTATAGCGATAATTGTCATTGTAATCGAAGACAAATAGATCAACTTATAACAAATGTGTAAGTTTTATACATCTATAGATATGTATGCATATACATACAATATTGTGTTGTCAAACTTGTTTTATACAGTCAATTAATTGACCATAAAATAAGTATTATTATAAATCAAATCAAAAAAATGTTTCGGAACAAATTCTATCTATGTTAAAAGATTAGATTTTAATAAAAGACTATCAAAAACAAAAAGGTTGACGATATTCTCATTTGAATTATACTTTGTTATAAAGCACATTTAGAATGTGAGAAATATGATTGATAAAATTTAATATAACGATAGTGTCCATATTTATATTCTTAATTGCTCTTCAAAAAACCGGTTTTGCGCTAGGTACATTTAAATCGCCTAAAGTTTGAAGAATGTATTAGGACTGTAGTGGAGAAGCTACGATAAAATTTTCACTTCTATACCTTAACGTTTGACAGGAACATTCATCAAACAAGAATGAAAAATAGCTCATTTGGCAAATTAAATTTCTCTGTCCAGGCTCATTCTATGTATTTAATTCTTTTTTGTTTGAAAGAACATATCAGGATGCAGTGCAGTGCAGTGCAGAGCCATTTTTTTAAAAATTCTTACTAATTAACCTGAGAAAAGATATGATAAGTTTGATAATTCAAAAAACTTTCTAATATTGGATGTCTATCGGTATCAGTGTTTGTATATATAATAAAAACAAAGCTTAATTAAAAAAAAAGACTCTATACCACACTTCATCTTGACATACTCTTTCAAAGTAAAAAAATATTCAATGTGTAGAATGTTGGTTCACAGAAAATTTGGGTTGCACAATCAAAAGAGTACAAATAGAAGAAAAACAAAAGAACTTTTCCCATTTTTTCTAAAAAGACCTTATTTTTCAAGCAGGTAACAACAGAAATGATAAATGAATTTCGGTAAAAAATGAGGTGCCTCAAAAGCGATTAAAAATTTTGAGGGATAGAATAAAAGAAAACAATGAAATATATAAATTATTGCTTCATGTAATCGATCAATAGATAATAACTCAAACATTATCTTTAGACAAATATACCTATCAAATGATCATACTTTTATTTATAATTATCAATGTTCAATATTGACATATAATAGAACTACATATTAAAGTATAGATTTTATGACAAGCTTACAATTGACAATATTTTTTACTTGTTTTTGTATTATAGTAATTCATAATAATAAATAATGAAAGATATTGTAAATTCATCGCATTATCAACTTGATATGTTGTCATGTATCTCTTGAAGTAACAATAATTTTCGTTGTTTGATATGTTTTGAATGAATAACAAAAGTTTATTTTCTATTTTTTGAAAGATACATATGATTGACTTTTTTCGTTTGGTTTCTTTTTTTTTATTTTGTTTAATCATTCTTAATAACAGAAATGGTTAAATACTATTCATATGATATAACCATTGAAAAAATATTTTCAGCAAAAGAAGAAATGATAAAAAATAAATCGAGGAAAATAATTTTTATTGAAGACGTTGAGAATTTTGAGATTTATTAGTCTCGATATATTGATGAGACATCTATTGCAACATATTTATCTCTTTAGAAAAAAAAGTTATGCATACAAAATGAATGAATGAATGATTTCACTTGATATTTATAAATAAAGTTTACGAATGTGTTTGATTTCCGGTCAAATATGCATAATCCGATATCGTTTAAATAAACATAAAATACCATAGGTAATGTGAAATTATGTATCTAAGCATATCAACTTCTACTATTCATCAGTTACTTCCTATTTTGCATACATTTAATACGTTCATACACATTTTTAAAAAGAAAAGAAGATTTTAATTTTGATTGTTTAATATAAATTAGACAATAGACTCGATAATATAGTATAATATAACAAACGAATATTCAATATTGCATACATTTATAAATGAACTAAAAGAAGTTTGATAGATAAAATTGTCTTTTGTTCGAAAATTTTCGACTAATACCGATTTGACAAAAAAATTCAACTTCTTGCTATGAAAAAATCTAAGAAGAATTTGAGGTTGTTTAATAGTAAATTTCTACATATAATGATTTATCTATTATCTTTTAAGAATTTTAATTATCATTTAGATATCAGTCTAATAATTTCAAATATAAATTCTTCAAATATATCATTGATTTGCTGTTTCGTAATACCATTTGTGAACACAAACAAAGCAGCTGTTCACTCAAAACAAGACAAATTACATTTGACAAATAGTTAAAATGGAATTCTTTTGTTATTGTAAGTGTTTTTCGATGATTGTTTAAAGCATAGATATGAGCCATTGTTTCAACATAACTAAACAAATAGTTGTTTTTTAATTGAATAATAAGTTAGTTTTGAGAAAAATGATTACATACTTCTTTATAGAAATTTCAAGAAAAATATTTTTCTTTATATCCTTTGAGTGTATTAAAACAAAACAAAAGAAAAAGAGGAGCAATTTGTTGTGATTGATGACAAGCATTTGCTTCAGTACAAAGACAGTTATACTTAGCAAATTGACTTATAGCATCGGTTCTACTACGTGCTGTGCAAATAATATTAATTTGCAGTAAATTAGTTTTGACCGAGATAATTATTGATACATGTCTTCATCACCTTTTTTATCAAATAAAAATTGAAAATTATTAAGTCATATCGTATGAGCATTAGTTATGAGAATATTGTGTATAGGATCTAAAGCTGCTTATACTACTCTGTTTACATTTACAAAACAACCTAATGTTCTATTGACAAAAAGATGCTGTTGAGTGGAAGTAAATTCTTGTATACAATTCAAATTAGTACAAAGATCAATCGATTGGCTAATTAAATGGAACGACTAATTAATGATAATATCATAAAGAAAGAGTTCATTATTTGGAACACACTATAAAACCATATATGTAATACAATTAGTCAATATTCAAAAAATTGTTCATAGATATTTCATAATTTCTACAAACAAAGACTGCAATAGACATAGATGTACTTCCATGACGTCGGTGAATAAGTCATAAATGAAGACCATGTATTGCTGCTTAAACCTGTACAAATTTGATTATTGATATCATTGCCGGTAATAGTGGTCGATGATGAATCATTAGAAGAAGTAACTTATAATAAATTACAGAAAAATAAGATTAGAAATATTCGAAAAAAAAGCTAGAGTTTAAAGATAATTTATATTAATTCTTAGTCATGACTATGAAAAGTTATTTTTGTGACAATTTCCACTAGACTTTCAACATATTGACTTTTGATAAGAAGTTATCATCCAAGTATTTGACAAGTGTTGACTTTGAGATTGACCATTGATTATCACAAATGCAGTAAAATGTGAATCTTCTGTTGGCAAACATGTGCTAAATTGTTCTGCTGATTGATCAAGGTGAGAAAATGCTTCAGTGCGGAAGTGAAACAAACAAACGATGATACCAATAATTAATTACTATAGAAAACATTTCATTCAATATTTTTTTTTGTATCTTTATTCTACTATATCAAACTGTTCAGTCTTGATTACTCGTTAGTATCAACATCAGATATTGATTAGTAACTTCTCAGATTGCTTATTTTTATCTATAATCAAACATGATTTAGGAAGAATAATTCTATATTCTCATATTGTCAATAACTTGAACAGAGTAGCATCAATTAATAGATGCTTTTTTTTGTTTCAAAAGAAACGAAAAAAAATCGAACGCATGATGATAAAAATAATAATTATTGGTATAATAGCTGCCAACATGATAAATGAAGTACATGAACAAAAAAGAACAGTATAGATGTATATGGATAGCACCAATATTTCGAAGTCCCTTGTTTTTGCAGACAAAAATAATATGCTAATAAGTGACACAACTAGTATGACTGTAGAGGCTTTTTTTTTATTTCGCAGTTTTCTTTTGATGAAAAATAGTGAACAGAATGATCTTAATGATGAGTGAAGTTAGCTCTTAAATACATTATATGAGCATATCAACATTGGTTCAAACAATTCTTTTCAAGCCGATAAAATTGAACAATTTAATTCTACTTCTTAACTTTCTTAAAAATTATCCAAATCAAAGATTAATTTTTTTCGAATACAGAAAATCGTGTGCAATTTTTTAATAGCATTTTAGTATTTGGCATCGATAATTCATCATAGTTTTGATCATTCTTTAATATCTTTGAACTAAAAATTTTTATTATCACATTTAAAATCTTTTATTTGTTGATTTAGAATAGTTGCCGAAATAAATCCTGTTATTATTATGAAATCCATTAATTAAATATGGGTATCACCAGTAAGTTTAGTTTATTTGAATCAAAAACAACACTAAATATAAACTCTCTAAACTGTCGTATATAAAATTGAACATATGCGGTTTTTTTTAAAATTTCGATTCAACTAAACTTTTGTCTTGTTTTCATATAGACATTTTATTTGGGCTGAATCCTAATAGAGCAAAAAAAAAAATGAAAAAGTTAAGGGAGCTGAATCAATGGGATTCATTAATGTTTGCCACCAGCAGTTATTTTCTTGGTATCGCCATGTTCGTGTCCATGCTCACTAATTGCTGTTTTAGGTCGTGGAGGAGCACCAATAGGATCAAGTGCTTCATCTGGTATAACCCATTCATGTTTATGTGGTAATAATTCACCACCTTGCTCGACCCACCAACGTAATGAATCTCGTTTTTCATATGGTAAAAATTGAATATCTTTTAATTTATCATGTTCATCCTTATCCCAAACACGAGGATAGACAGCTTCAGGCATGTAAAAAGAAGCTAAATCAAAAAAGAAAATAAAACATTCGAATATAAACTTATATCAACATACCTAATTCATAAGTAACTTCATCAGCTGGAGGTACGTTATCCCATCGATCAAATTCTTTACGTAATTTTTCTACTTCACCTTCAGCTAATTTAACAAATTCTTGGGCACGTTTTTCCTAAACGAATCATTATGTTAAATTATATAGAAAACAAAAAACAACATAAAAATGCAAATTTTTCTTGTTACTTCGCCTTTAGCATATTCTTCAAGTTCTTTAAAACGATTAGCCGTATCTTTTGGATAGGCAATTTGGGCATTTTCATACTAAAAATGATATATATATATATATATATTAATAAAAATATTTTAAATTAATTCTTACTTCTTTTTGAAGTTTATCAACAAGTGTTGGATCTGCTACCATTTTTCGGTAGTATTCGAAATCAATCTTAGGTAATCCATCCGATAAAGCATTCATTCTAGAAAAAAATTGAGAAAATTTTTAATAGATGTAAAGATTAAAAAAAAAAGATTTTTCACGTACTTAACAGCAGCTTGACTCCATTTGCCTTGAAGATTAGATACAGTTGTTGTATTGGAACCGCTTAATTTTAATAAACGACTCCAATCAATTTTTGCACCAACATAACGAGATGCAGCTGAGGCCGATCGGCCAACTTGTTGAGCCATGAAAAGTTTATTTCAAATCTGAAAAGAAAATTAAATTTCAAATTGAAAAACAAATTCTTTTTTTTTTATGCTAAAAGTTTAATTAAAATGAATTAAGTGCGGCAATATCCCTCAGGAAGACTAATCGATTTTGATAATCAAGAATTTTTTCATTTTTATTAGAAATTCTCATCATCGGGTATGCGCGCATAAAATTTAATAGAATACTATTTCCATTTAAAGGGACAGTGATTAGGATTCGAACCTATATAACATTCGTTTAAATCAACTAGACTAATATTTTACACCTAAATGAATATAAATAATAAAATTTGTTGAATTTTTGTTTTTCTGATTTTTCTGTTTTGTAATAGAAATACAGCAATACTAGAGCAGTTTGATTGGATATAAAGGAGAAAAACAAAATCGCACCATTTGTCATAAAACCAAAAAGGATACGGGAAAAATACAAAGAGAAAGAATAACATCATTTGAGAAGAAAAATTTAAGAAGAGACAAATAATAACTACTCTATAGTATGTTTTTTCTTTAATCAAGATCATCTGGTGGAATACCCAATTCTTCATCAGTAAATTTTGACATATCAGGATAATGAGCATGACCAAAAAACCAATTTGGTTCTTTAAGAAAACGCCATGAAACATACAACCAAAGCCAAATAGAAAAGACTAACGCAGCATGATAAAGCCATAGTTCATAAAGAGATATTTGTGTTCGATATGGTAGAGAAAGAGGAACTTGTCCCAGAGCAGGACGATAATCATAATAGTTTGGTCGTTCTAGAAAACGAAAAAACAATAAATTAAAATTTGCTTCATTGAATCAATTATTCGAACTTTTACTACTAAGTAATCAGTTTTAATAACTAATGCCTATTTCAAATTAGAAGACTCTTGAGTATTTTTTGAACAACTTTTGATAGAAACAAGATAGAGATCTGCGATTTTCACCATTCGGAAGAGGAATGTCGACAGCATCTATCCACACAAGATTCATTAGGTTTGTAGAGAGTACTTTTACGGTCATCATATTGTACATTAATCTCAACTCAAATTATATCAAAACACCGAATAAACCAGCATGTATTTACGGTAAAATTTACAGTTGTTTTCATTCTTTTCTCAAGGTTTTTTGTCGATGGAATCTTTTAAAAACGTTATAATTTTACTGTGAATACAAGGTGGTTTGTTCTACATTTTTATGTAATTTGAGTTGAAATTAATGGGAAATATGATGAAAAAAGGCAGTGAAAAAAATATCTGTATGACAACAATCGTCAAAATACTCTCTGCGAATCTAATGAATCTTATGTGGGTAGATGTCGTCGATATCCCTCTTCCGAATGGTGAAAACTGCAGATCTCTATCTTGTTTATATCAAAAATTATTCAAAAAATATTCGAGGACCTTCTAATTTGAAATGAATACTGGTTGAATGAAAAACTGAGATTTATTGATATAGAATATTGCTACACTTGACAAATATGTACTTTGAGAAAAATGGATCAATTAAATAGGTGAGAAGATAGTAATATTGTGAAGGAATATTACTTCGTATGCAGTAGAGCCTGTCGAGTTGACATCGAATCCAATCAGATACAGATCTAGAAATTTTCTGTTAATCGGATTCAAAATTTTGGACCTGTTGAATTCTAATATCCAAGAACTTAGAACAATCAAAAAAATTCTATTACAATGATGAAACAGATATTTAAATACATCAATGTTAATGTTCGTTTCATTATCCAGAATGCCTTTTTTTCTTGATGGTTTTGACATACAACTCATGAAAAAATTTTCTTTTTGTTTTTTTTAGTTTCATGTACAACGAATAACAAGATCGATGTGAAATTTATGGATCTTATTCGAAATCTAGCTCTATGTGGATCTATAAAAAATGTCGTACTCATGTTTTTCAATTTCAAAATAGGAAATATTAATTTCTACTTTTCTTAAACCTATCAATACAATGCGTGTATAATTATATCTTCGAATTAATAACATATATAATTTTGATATGATTAATTTTACCTGCTGTGAAAGCTATACTGGGATCATCTGCTTGATTTTCGTATTTTGATTGAATTCCTGAATGATGACGCCATTCTTGTGTTTTTCTTAATTCTGGTTCATGATGATGATGGTGATGATCATGACCATGATCATCATGATGATGAACATTTCCGGAACCATGATGTTCGGTTGGTGTAGTCGGTGGTGTTGTTGTAGATGCATAAATTCTTGGTAGAATACGAGATGAAGATGAAAAAAGTTTAATAATCGCACGATTCATTATTAGTTTTTATTAACTAAAATAAAGAAAAACAAAAAAGAATTAAAATCTAATTTATGAACGTTCGTTTTTCTTTCTTTCTTTTTTTCTAAATATATATAAATTATACGTAGTCTAGGTTGTAAAAGACAAAGGACAGAAAAAGAAAATGGGTGAATGATATTAATAGTGATATCGTCTAAGCTGTTCTTGGTAATGTACCAAGTCCAATTGAATTTGAATAAGCTTCAAGTAATTCTGATGTTTGTCTTTTTGCTAAATAATTTCTTGTATCATTAATCCATGATTGTGCAACATTACGTGGTTCACCTGTTAATAATTGCATTAAACGTAATGCATTATACCATTGATTTTGATCTAAATATGATTGAACATAATTTAAAATAGTAAATGTATTTAATCGATTAAGATCAATAGCATCGTCAATTAATATTGAATCATCACGTTGTCGTACAATTAATGAACTTTGTAAATATGATAAAAAATAATTCCATAATGAATTATGTTCATTATCAATTAATGCTAAACGACGACATAATTTATTAACATGTGTAAAACGTTCACGTAAAATTTTTTCATTTGTGGTTGGTGATTCATCATTACGTAATTCATTAACAAGTATTTGAACAAATTTTTCATTTGGTACTATTTTTGATACAATATCAATATCATTATTAGTTGTTGTACCATGAACAATTTGATTAAGTATATTTTGTGCTTGTATCCATAATTGTTGTGCTTGTCTACCACGTTGTTGACTATCATAATTAGCTTCAATCGCTTGTTCAATAGCATATAAACGATCTAATGTTGTTCGTAATTGATTTTGTAAATTTAAATTTATTTTTACGGATTCATTTTCTAATTGTTTTTCATATTCATTAGCCCATTCTTGATACTGTCGTGATAAAACATCAGCTAAATATTGTGTTAATGCTTGATGTTGTAAAACAATTTCATTTCGTAATTGTTCATCAAATTGTTGACGAAGATTTTTTTCATATGCTTTTATTTCTTCAGTTAATTGTTCAGTTGTTTTTTCAACACGTTCTTTAGCACGTTGTTCAACAAGACGATCAATATCAGCACGTGCTCTATCAACAGCTGCGTTTATTGAATCCGATTCATTTATACGCGTACGTGCTATATCATTTTGAAGTTTAACTACACGACGATGTGCATGTACTAATAATGCTTGTAGATCTTCATGAGTTAATTGTGACGGACTTTTGCCAGCTACACTTGGAATCATTGTTTCAATTTCTTTTTGAAATGATTTTGTTGCTTCATCAATATATTTACGAAAATTTTTAACAAATGTTGATGTTGTATATTGTTTTTGTAATTCTTGATATCTTTCATCAAGTTTTTTTTCATGTGGATGTATTTCACCACTTGTTGCTGTTGTATATTCAATTAATTTATTTTTCCATTCACCAATAGTATCAGTTACTTTGTCATATGCATTTTTAGCTTGTTCTTGTAAATCTTCAGCATATTTCCATGTTTCATGATCTGATGTTGATATATTTGGATTATCAATTATAGTTTTCATATGTGAAATATGTTCTTGTGCGACTTTTAAAGCATCATCAATTTGTTTTGATAATGGTGTAAATAATTGAGTGATTTCTTCTTCAAGTCTATAAAAAGTAAATAGAATATGAATAAGATATTGTCAAAAATATATGTAATTAAAACAAGAGTAACTTATTCGAAAATGTACAAAAATAAATTCGGTTTGATTTTTAACAAAAACATTGAATTCAAACTAAACTTACTGTTTGTATTTATCTTGAGGTATTGGTGGTGGTACTGCTATTTCACCAGGTTCTTCTAAAAATACAGGATCACCAATTTTACCCGATGGTTCCCCTGATTGACCTTTAGCTAATGGTAAAGCATCTTTGACAGTTTCTTTAACTGTGTGTGCTGCATCTTCAACTTTTTCTTTAGCATGTGCTAAATTTTTTTTTAATGTTGTTGTAGTTGGCAATGCATCACGAACAGTATGAGCTGCATCTTTAACCTAATAATAAATAATAATAAAAAACAAAAACAAATGTTTACTTTAAGATATTTTGCTTAGTTCATCAAAAAGAAATTATACCTGATCAGCAGCATGATCAACAGTATCTTTAACTTGTGCACCAGCTTTTTGGATTTGAGCTTTATCAGGTAATTTTTCCAAGACATTATTAGTAGTATCTTTAATTTTTTCATTTAATGTTTTAGTTTTATCTTTGTCCGATATTTTTTCTTTTATATAAGCTAAATCGGGCATTTTTTCCGATATTTTGGTTGTTATAGATTTCTGTCGGCCGAAAACTGGATCGATAAATTGATCAAGGCCACCTAAGATTGTTGAACTATATGGAATGGTTGATTCGAGTTGTCGACGAAACGAGCCATTTTCATATTCAGCATAGACTACTACAGCAGTAAGACCAAGAGTAACTCCATAAAGAATTGTCTTTACCATTTTACCACTGCTACTAGTTTTATGACTAGGAGGTGCTGAAAATGGTGGACGTGGACCTGTTCTCGATGAGGAACCAGGAATAGATGATGTTGTAGTTGTTGTTGTTGCTTTATATGGAATATTCGTTCGATCGATTGGTGTATTAACTGGAGGTTTTGTCGATGTTGTTGGCGTCTTTATTGTCGACGAAGGATTAGTAGTAGTAGTTTGAGTTTTATTTGGACTAGGAATTGATTTCGGGGGAACAGTTGTACCCGAACCTGATGTTTGTTGCCATCGTTTAGCAATGAGTACGAAATTCAATGCCCCTGATTGTGAATAGGACAAACGAGCCGCACGGAGCATTGATTCAGGCTACTTTTATTAAGAATTTAAACAAAATCTAAAACAAATGACAAGAAGTTTTGACAAAAAAAAACAATCGTTGGATAAAAATAGTGAACTTGTCGACTTATTTTTTTCTATCATACAGGCAGCCATCTTGAGATGTAAAAGCCCTTAAGACTTCTTAAATATAATTATTTGTTAAAGAAATAACATTTTGTAATGAAGAATCTATGTAAATAGTATTTTCTTGATATTCGATCAAAATTATCTCATAATTTCAATAGTAAATAGTTTCTAAATGAACATTATTTCATCATAGATGTCGCATGTAATCAATCATGCTGAAAAGAGAATACAAATACACACAATTTTTAATAATTTATATTAACATTTCGAAGATAGTAATAGAGGCTGAATAACAGGATGCAACATTTAGAAATCAGAATATCTTAAATCGATGCTTTTATATTCAACTATATGAATGAAATAAAATAGATATATTCCTTATGTAAAAATCAGGGATGGCCCGAGTCAACCAACAATGGGGGGGTGTCGCGAAATTTTTTGCAGTAAAAGGTGGAATTTTTTAATTTTGGGGGGGTGTAACATTATTTTTCATGACAAATGGAAGAAAATTTTTTGATTTTGCTGAGCAAAAAATAGAATTTTTCTAAGATTGGAGGGGTGTTCCACCCCCGACACCCCCCCGGTCGGGCCACCCCTGGTAAAAATATAAAATAGAATAAATTCAGGGATGTAGCGAAGAGAAAA